CTTTTTAGTAGTTTAAGCACTGTAAGCAAGGGCCTACTCTTCATATTTGGCTGTAAAGAGCCCATATTTGGCTGTAAAGAGCCATACAATCAGTGGCTCTAATAATTTTCTTTAAAAAGTGGGCATGTAATTGTGGGTGCAAACATCTATGGCAATAAATACCTTGATTTTGATTGTAAATAGTTACCCATTTTAACTAGCCTCTTGTAATTGCCCAATTTACATGAACAACTATAGAAATTCCGTGCACAAAGTTGGAATCCAATTCTTAAAAGCTTGAATGACTTGCTTGAGGTTGGTGGGTAGGGAGAGAATGGGATCTCTTATTATGAAGTTTTATTATGATGCATCCTCGTGGCTCATGTTGCCGTGAATTGGAGCTGCATGTACTGAATTTTGGAGTGTGTGTCAGATATGTTGAGAAAATGTATGAAATCCAAAACCTTATCTGACACTTCTCTTAGCCTAAATTGCTAAGTTAAGTAAGCAAACATTTTAATGAGCCCTTCTCTTACATGGTTGAGCATTAAATTGCCATTTAATACTTCAGCTGGGTTGTATTTTTAGATTTGTGCAGAGGAGGGCTCTTTTCTAATGCCAGACAACTTAAAAAAATGTATCTCTATAAGGACATCATGTGTGGTACCTTACTGCAGAAATAGCACAAGTGCAGTGGCATTTAGCAGTCTCTTACATTAGTGATTGTAGGTTAGGCCTCTTCAACGGTTCTCAAACTTCATCGCACCATGATCCCCTTCTGTCAACTAAAATTACTACATGATAGAGTTACCAGATGGTTTCAACAAAAATACCGGACATGCTTGACATTACATCACAATCTACATTGCATCTTATTTAGAAAATACCAGACCTTTATATTTTCTCAATTTGTTTCCCAAACAGAAAGCTCAAATACTGGACTGTCCGGTTCAAAACCGGACACCTGGCAACCCTGTACATGACCCCAGGAGAAAGAACTGAAACCTGAGTCAGCCTACATCCTGTCACTTCAGGTGGGGTTGGGAGAGCAAAACTGAAGCCCAAAGCTTTCAATCCCAGGCAAGAAGCCTGTAACCAGAGCCCTGCCGCTCAGGACTGAAGTCCTCAAGTTTGGTTTCAATTCCAGGTGGTGGGATTTGGGCTTCAGCCATACAAATGTGGTGGACAAGAGATTTTCTTTACATATGTGACCTTAAGAATTCCCAGTGCCAACTGGTGAAGGGTTTGCTGTTCCGTAACAGTAATTTCTGACAAGTGACAAATTCACTATACCCAATACATTTCTTTAATATTATTTATCTAAAGAGAGTCATGTGCGATCTCCAGTGAAAGCTTATGTCTGAGAGATCCTCATAATCATTGTGAGATATATGTACAGATGATATTTAAGGAGCTATGTGTGCATAGATACAGGAAATATGTTTTAAAGTTTGAATCAAAGCAGAATTAATAAGCAGGTTTTCACTAGATAAAAGGTGCACACTCACCTACCAGATTGGTTGGCTGTAAAATAAATATTGTAAGCCTATTTGCATATAACATATTAGTGTAAAACAGGGGTTCTCTAGCTTTTTCTGTGAGACTTCCCAATATGCCATAAAAACTCCACAGCCCATCTGTGCCACAATAACTGGTTTTCTGCATATGGAAGTTAGGGCCAGTATTAGGGGGTTAGCAAGCTGGCCAAATGTCTGGGGCCACAGCCCCCCTCTCTAGCTACATTGCTCAGACTTTGGCTTCAGCTCCACGTGGCATGGTGCAGGGCTTTGAGCTAAAGCCTCATGCAGCGGGCTTCAGCTTTCTACTCTGGGCCCTAGTCTAATGCTGGCCCTGTTTGGAAGATCCCTCTCCCCAGAAACCACCTTGTGATCCCCCCAAGGGCCCCAGACATCTGGTTGAGAACTATGGCTGTAAAAACTCTGAAAAGAAAATGTTGATGTTTCAGGTTTCTGCTGGAACAGACTTCTGTTTCGGTGAATTCATTTCTTTTGTACCAAACAAAAACATAACAGTACAATGAACAGGGTGTTAGTAGAAAACACAGTATGGAGACATGACAAGCTGTCCCATTCTAAAAGCGAATCTAGAGGTGTCTTCAAAACACTACATGCTGTACAGTTTTATAAGGGTACCCATATACAAACTAATTGTTCAATTTAAAAGCAAGACTTCCACTTCTTAAGCAACATAAGGACAGTTGGTTTCAGAGTGTGGAATAACTTGTCCCTTGTAGGGTTAGAACTCTTCAGTCTGTCCAGCAATTTGATCAGATAGCAGAACATCCCTGGGGGCCTTAAAACTTACTTGATCCAGGTTTCCTATTGCATTAACATAAAGTTTGTTAGTCTGTCATTTTTTCGTGCCGTTTTGCTATATGCTGGTCTTCCAGGAACTCGTTATTCTGCCATTTTGGATATGACATTCTGAAATTGTTTGGTTCGTGACTTACCTGGTTGGAGATGTAACCTATTTCTTGCCAAAGCGATGTTTCCAAACTTCTTGCAATGAAATTGGCTACACCAGCCTCATTTTGATGGAACTGCTTTCCACTGAAATCTCCATTTTCTTTTCTCCTTACCTTCTTCCATGGTGTGTCATTGATTATGTCCCTTGACTTAGGGCCTGGCCCTCCAGCCATTATTCAAGTGAGTGATTTCGTTGACTTCAAGGATCAAGCCCTTAATTTTAAAGTCATCCTAAGGACCCTGTTGTCCTTGTGTATCTCTATGGTCCTGTATTTGCCTATTAGACCATGTAAATATGTATTCCATTAACCTGGTGGTTCCCAGTTTGTGAGCAACTTACTCATGCTGGATTCTAAATCAGCATGTCCCTGTCTTCCAAATGGTTCAACGTGGAGTCTCTCAGAACTGTGGTCTGTCAGCAAACTTCCACGATGCTTACCCTCCACAGGCTGATAGCCAATGCCAGAAACATCTAGGATTTTCTCTGAGCTGCATCTGTACCATGTCGTTGGGCCTAGCATCAGATACCTGCCTTTCCATGAAGCTGATGATGCTGGCTACATCCTGTTTAAGAAATTGTAGCCACTCAGCTGTCTCTTCCTCCCCCTACCTCTTGCTCCCTTTTGGCACATGGTAACCTTTAGCGACATCCGAGTCAGGAGATGGTGGGACTTAGTATTAGGGATGTAAAGGGTTAACCAGTTACCTGGTAAGTATTTGCCTTACTGGAATGCTTACTGAGGTAACTGGTTAATTGGTACCCTGCTCAGTCAAATCAGCCTTCATCTGCAGCGTGGTTAACCAGTTAAACATATTTAACCAGTTAACTTTAACTGGGATTTTACATCCCTGCTTAGGCCAGTTCTACACTAGACCTGGAAGGTCGGGTTAAAGTACACTGCTCTAGCTATGTAAAATATGTAGCTGGAGGTGGCTTACCTTAAGCTGAACTTGGCACCATCTTCACATTAGGAGGCAACAGGAGCAAATGTTTCCATTGGCTTCCCTTTGCAATGAGTACCAATGCCAACTGGAGGCAGCCTCAGTGTTCAGTTTAGCAGGTTTTAAGTCAACCTGCTAAATCGAATTCCACAAGATCGATCTCCGGGTGGTGGAGGCATGACCTTAGTGTCTGCCCTTCCTTTTGGCTAGTCTGTGATAAAATAGGATTAATCAAAGAAACATGTGAAAGTCTTAAACATGCAGTTTGCACTATGCACAGTACTTACTCTGCTTGTAGTTTTGTGTCTAGGAGGGAACCTTCTCCATGTTTAAGTATGTAGGTTTGTTTATGGGCTTACTTTAGCCAGCCACTTTAGAAAAGTAATGGAAATTGTGACTGGCACTTCCTTCTTGCTGCTTACAAGAAAGACCTGGAAATGAAGAACTAGACTTGCATCATCAAACAAGCAAAGAGATCTCAAAAAGAAAAGACATGTTTACATAAAACCAAGTGTTATGTCAAAGCTAATAGAGATGTTGAGATACACAAGGCAGAAAAAAAAGTATGCCAAAACATGCAGCTGATCTTTGGCTGCTTTTGTCTGTAGGTAGAAACAGCAAAAGTAATCCCATTATTTTTAAGGAGATGTAAACCATAAGCACTACTGTCAGATTATAGGTTTTCAAACAGCAAAACACTGACAAGGAATACTTTAGGAAGGTGTTAATAGTGTCATAATAATATTTTTATTATAATCATGATCTTGACCAGTCTTCTGCCTTTTAGGGGGCAGGGCAAAAGTCTCCTCTCCACAGAGGGAAAATCTCATGTGTAATCCCTGTTGAGATTTTTTTTTATTCAAATTTTGGAATTGAGACTTACCACTTCCTGAAAGATGTTCTTTTCAGACTGAGACTTTGTTGTCAACAGGCTTATAATTCTAATTCCTGTTTCTGAAACTCTAACAAGTGAATGAGGAAAAGTTATTTACTTATTCCCACGATATAAGAACTAGGGGTCACCAAATGAAATTAGTAGGCAGCAGTTTAAAAGCAAACAAAAGGAAGTTTTTCTTCACTCAGCGCACAGTCAACCTGTTGAACTACTTGCCAGAGGATGTGGCAAAGGCTAGAACTTTAACAGGGTTCAAAAAGAGCTAGATAGATTCATGGAGGTTAGGTCCATCAATGGCTATTATCCAGGATGGGTAGGAATGGTGTCCCTAGCCTCTGTTTCTCTGGAAGTGGGAGACAGGGGAGGGATCACGTGAGGATTACTTATGATCTCTCTCTCTGAGGTATCTGGTGCTGGCCACTGTTGGCTGACCAGATACTGGGCTAGATGAACCTTTGCTCTGACCCAGTATGGCCATTCTTATGTGTGCTTACAATAAATGACAGTGAAATGTAGTGTATCAAGAAAATATGCAGACCGGTATTTATCTGCCATGCCATGCAGACTCTTCCAATGTGCTAACTTTAGCAATTAAAAAAATGTTTTAGGAGTGGTTTTGTCTCTGTAACACCAAGGATGTACAGACTTACAAACAATTGTGTACTTCGTGTATGTGACTACAGTATTTTTTCCTGCAGCTCTTCAATCACCTGTTCGTTGGCAGTCAACTACTATAGATAACCAAGACGATGGCTGCCAGCAAGAACAAGAACCAGAGTTCTTTGGTCCTGCACAAAGTAATCATGGTTGGCAGTGGAGGTGTGGGCAAGTCAGCACTTACACTTCAGTTCATGTATGATGAGGTAAGACAAGTTAGCACAATCTGTTGATTAAGCTCCACGAATAATCAACAGTCATTCTGCTGGATTTTTCTCGTGCAATCAGTAAACTTCTTTTAACGTTGTTTGGAACATCAGAAAATTCTGATGCTGTCTATCCAGAAGATAAATGCAGGTTCCATAACGTTTAAAGACAAAGTGCAAAGATTGCATTGAATGAGGAATGCAAGGTATTTAAAGCAGGCATTTCAGTAGTTGTTGACAGCCATTTCAGTCCATCCACACGTGTCTACACTGGGAAGGTTTGGTGACACAAGTAATGTTGACATGCAGAAGTCGCCAAAAGTGAAAAATGGTCAAACTAGTTTTTCTGCCTCCCATTGTTGACACTTCATGACCACATTTCTAGCACCCTGACAACAGGTAGAGCAAAGCATTGTGGGTGAGCATCCCACAGTGCATTGTTGTGAGAAGGCAGAGCTGATCCTTGCACCTCTTGGAATTCTCTTGTGGCTCTGTGAGCTCTCCATACTAAGGAATGTCAAAGCAGCACAGCAGTCTCTCCAGCCCTCCCCCTGCAGTAGCAATCTGCCTGCTGCTGTGCTCCTAGTACAGGGGAGAACGGAAGCGTTCCAATGATTTGTTCCCCAGCTGTCAGATACTTTCCAAAGCCTTGAAAGAGGAGGGGTGCATACCCACAGGGCAGCAGAGATCACAAAACACTGAGCAGAGCCTTCAGGGCAGGCATTATGGGATACTGGTGGAAGCCAGTTCTCTCAACAAAACAGACAGCAGAGGCCACGCTTGCTCTTCGTTGACAATAAAGGGAGGGGAAAAAACAAAAGTCTCTCTCGGGGTGGAAGTTTTTTGTCACCAAAACTGGGTGTTTTTCCTGACTAAAGTCACATTGTAATGTAAATGCGCTCACTGTGTTGTTGCCTAAAACTGCCTTTTAGCAACAAAACATGCCAGTGTAGACAAGGTCTCAGTTTCAAGTGTGGCTGGTGCAGTAAAACTGTGAAGTTTTTTGAGACAAGTTAGGATTCAAGTAGAAGTAAGCATACTGCTTATCTATTTTTGAGACTTATGTTAATAAAGAACAATACCAAGAAGATTGCCAGCTCCCTTCATGCTAATTCCTTAGTGCTAATATACTGGGCACAAGCCCATTGATGGATGTCCTGTAAATCCTTTTCTAAGTTTTTGTAGCTAATATTCTAAAGTGTACTTAGTCAGACATGTGCAACTGTCACAAGACAGGATGAAAATGTCAGAAAATATGTGAAAAATGCAATCACTAGTTCTGTTCTAAGTAGCCTATGGCCATTTCTAAGCACTCTGACAAGTCATTACAAGAAAAGCATAATACACTAAAATTACATCAATAGATGGTCTTTGGAGTCTGTTCTAAAGGTCAACAGATATGGACTCTTTTGTATCAAGTCGGGAGAGGAGGGGGTAAGTTTCAGAATCAAGCTGTTCTCCTAGTAACCATTCTGGCGGCAACTTGTTTTTCGTTAATGTGCAGGGACCCTTGGTTGGAGCACCTCAGACCATAGTTGGTACAAAAATATGCCTGGAATAGTATGGCTACCTGATACTGCATATCTGAATCACTTCTGTTTTTAGAGGGGTAGCCTTGCTAGTTGTTTTGGCTGAAACAGACAAGGAGTCTGGTGGCACTTCAAAGACTAACAAATTTATTAGGGCATAAGCTCTCGTGAGATATAACTCACTTCCTCACATGCTTGAGGAAGTGAGTTGTATATCTCAGAAGCTAATGCTTTAATAAATTTTAGTCTTTGAAGTGCCACCGAATTGCTTGTTACTTCTGTTTTTGTCAGTCAGACCCAGTACTGTAAACCCCACCTAGAATTTTTTAACCATTTGTTGGGGTTTATAGAGAACTGATGTGTATATAGTTGCAACACTGTACATCCTTTAATAGTAGAGCTGCTGTGTTGTGCACATGCTTCTGTTTTGGAATGGATTTAAGGTATATTCCTACTCAGACAGCACTGCAGCATTCAAACTGTGAGCTGACAAAGACAATAGCCATGCCAAAGTCTACATCTGAGAGAAAGTCACAACTTCTGTTATATCGGTTTATGCAGGTTAGACCTCCTTGGTCTGGATCCTTCGATACGTGAACGGTCCCAGATGAGGGAATTTGCTAAACCAGGGAAAGTCTCCTGCCCCCTCATCCTGCCACTCTTCCCCTCCACTGGCTTCTTCGGCCCTGCTGCCAGATGGGCAACACAGCTGCCCCCCTTCCAGAACTGCTGCCTCTGGCAGCACAGCAGCATGCAACCCTAGCCCCACTGCTACGGCACCAGCTCCACTGCTGGGCAGCATGGGCCCTGGCTGAGCTGCCCTGGTCCCAGCCAAGTTGCCGCGGCAGCACCAGCTCTCCTGCTGAGTGGCATGCAGCCCTGATTGGGCTGCTGACCTGCCTTGGCCTTAGCTGGGTTGCTGCAGCTCTGGTTCCACTGCCACAGCCCCTGACAGGCTTCCTCTGCTGGGCTGCCATGGTCCGGTCTCACGGCCAGCCAGGCTATAGTGGCTCTGCCCCTGCACGCAACAGTGATTGAGCTGCCCCAGCACCAGCTCCACTGCTGGACTGGATTGCCGGGCTGCCTTTGCCCCATTAACATGGCCCCACTATTGCCACTGGGCTGCTGAGGCTTTGGCCCAGCTATCACCAGCCTCACTGTGTGCATAGCTCTCAGCTGCTGGCCCTCCTCCCTCGGGGCTCTCTTGTTCAGGAATGTCAGTGGTCCAGCCGGATGACAGAGTCCTTGTTTTGGGAGGTGCAGCCTGTACCAGTGGAGCAGCTAGCCGCTAGCTTATTCTGGAGTAAACTCATAGTTTATCAGTTATCATGTAGCAATGGCTTCTTCTGTTGGCTGCGTTTTCTTGGAATGTGGACTCTAAACTGTGACGCAATGGTATTAAATCCAGTTCCCATTTGTGTCTCTGTAATAGTTAAAATACTAAAGCGAAAAACCTGGCATTAAATAGTCAACAGTGATTAAAATAAAAAGGCCTTTTAGGGATATAAATACTTTACATTGTCCATTAAAAGTTTGCACCAAAGTAAATGTCCAAAGAAAAGAGTGCTACACCTGAAAAAGAGGTACTGTAGATTTTTGTTCTTATGTTCCTCAGTTTGTGGAAGACTATGAACCTACGAAAGCCGACAGTTATAGAAAGAAAGTGGTTCTGGATGGGGAAGAAGTCCAGATAGACATTCTGGATACAGCAGGACAGGAAGATTATGCAGCTATTCGAGACAACTACTTCCGCAGTGGAGAAGGGTTTCTCCTTGTCTTCTCAATAACAGAACACGAATCCTTTACAGCAACGGCAGAGTTTAGGTAAGCACTGTAGTTGGATGGAGAGGGAAAAATAGATTCAGTTCCTCAGGATGCTTTTTTGATATTTTGCATGTATTTATATAGATCTGTATAGGTTTGATAAGGTAAATAAGGAATGTTTGTTCTGAGGCTCAGTAATGGGTAAAGGATGAAAAGGTAAACTTACTGCTCCTGATTTTCATAAACACACTCAGTGTTCTGTTTATATATAGAGCCCTCCACAAATACAAAATTTGTATCTGCATCTGTATCCACAAAAATGAGCTGTGGATATCTGCATCCACATTTGCAGCGGTGGATACCAGTGTATATAAAGTTGAATGTCCATACGTTTTCAGGGTTCTAGATATAAAATTTGTATACATATTTGCAAAAATGAGCCGTGGATATAAAATGGATATCTGCGGATTTGCAGGACTTCCTAACACCAGAAATCTGTATCTGAACTAACCCATTTTCCTATTTAACTTCAGTTTACATATTAGGACAGTCAGCAGCTCTTCACAATTCTTTAATTATGGTTTGATAATTCTCCATTTTCCCCTACCAAGTAGCTTGAAAGTGAATTTTATTTTGTTGTACAAGTATCTGGACTAATAAAGACAAGCTTTTAAAAGCCAGCAGATGGCTTAGTATTCAGGTTCTGTTTGCCCCTCTCTTCCTCATTTCCCACATCGTAACTCTACGAAAAAGGTATAGCCGTTCTGATTTCAGTTGTATCCAGAAGGCATGCTGCCCATAGGAAAGCAAAACAGGCCTAGTAGTCTGTGCATGGAGACATTGTAACACCTTGCATTAAGTGCCAGTGGTGTAGTGCTGTAGACTGTGAAGAAGGGGATCCGTGTGAGGAGTCCTTCCAAGGTAAGAGATTAGCCATAGTATCAATCCCATTAAGGATTCTTCATGTCACTTTCAAGCCTTTTTTCATTCTTCCTTTCAAGGCTATTTCAGTCTAACTCACTCCTGTGCATCCATCTTAGCCCTCTTAATTCCTTTCTTGAACTGGGGAGATTGGAAGAGAGTTCAGCCTGTGTGTTTAAAAACTACAAATTGCCTGGAACATCCAGTGGGTTGAGAAACCGTTTGATTCAAATGTTACTCTGATAAATGTAGGATTTAGATTGCAATTTCATTTTGTATCCAACTTTGATCTCTGTGCTTAATGTTTATAATCACTTAAAATCTACCTATAGCTGCTCTTGATTGGTACTCCCTTCTTTTCATGTGCCTGTATATTTATACCTGCCTCTGGAATTTCCATTACATGCATCTGACGAAGTGGGTCTTTGCCCACGGAAGCTTATGCGCCAATAAATCTGTTAGTCTAAAAGGTGCCACAGGACTTCTCGTTTTTGCAGATTCAGACTAACATGGCTACCCCTCTGATACTTATCTGTAGTTGTTAATCTTATTTTAATGTTTTATCCTTACTGGTGAGTTTTGTCTAAAGTGGTTGGGGAATCTGCTCAGATTACAAAGGTTAGCGAATATTGACTATCTTTGGCTGAAGTGTTGAAGTAATTACTGAGTTTGCATTGTTCATGAGAACCTCTTGAGCAGTGAAGAATGAGACGTTACTGGAGTGCAAGGCTGGGGATAATTATGGAGTTTCCCTGAATATAATTCATGAGTGACCTAGAGAGCATTCATACAACTCAGCTGAGTGTGTGTAAGCCTCCTAACTGCTACATCTGCCTATCCTATTAACAGATATGTCTTTGGCAGTTTGTGTCATTCTGACACCTCATTTTCCTCTGAAAAGCCTGATCTAAATACTTGTTTATAGGTCATTTTGCTTTAGCTATTCTCCATCATCCCTGAATCACTCTTGGTCCAAGCATCCAGCCAAAGTAAGCATTCTGTACTAAGTTGAGGATAGCCGGACCATACCATAAATTTCTGAACTTGTTCAGGTTCCCACCCTGGGATGTGCTGTGCAAGCCCTGAAGATCACATCAAAGAGGAGGCCATCATTATTGAATAAGTTCATGAATAGTTCAGCGGCTGTCAACAGTATTAATGACAACATACAGGAGTTACCCTTCTGGCCTGACGGTTGTGTACATGAGCCTGAAGAAGAGGCCTAGCAAACTAAGATACCATCTATCTTATAGTCTGGCAATAATTAATTTCATGGCAATACTTGGAGATCCTTCTCTCTGTGGTGTAATAAGGCAAAGATAGACCTCTGGCAATGGTGTCCTAGAGTTTTTTCAGGCTGGGCTAACAGACAGCTAACAGCTAACCAACTAAAGTCTATACCAAAAGTCACAGAATTCCGAGAAAAGGTAAATTTAATACCTAATTGGATACTGAGGTTTCTGAATCTGAGCCCATGAAGGCAACATCATCATCTGCCCCTTGTTCCTGCTTGGGACTTTGAGCTTGGTGTTTAATTCTCTTGCACCCCTTCCAGATGAGCCTAGAATTAGGATTATGACTATGTTCCATTTTTATTGTTATAGAATTTGTTTTTGTCACAAAATGATTGGTCAGAAGTCTTGAAGAGCTAAAGGTGCTCTTAAAGAGATTGTATGAATTTCCATACCGATGAATTGCACCTTTCTGTTCAGTCCCAAAAACTGCAAAGTAGCATAGACCTAGTTGCTTTGATACCTACATGCCTACAGTAAGGAACTCACCTAAAGACTGGCAGAATTTGGCTTTTAGAGACTGTTCCCACGCAGATTCCAAAATAGGATAAAGAATTAATTAGAGGCCAGAAAAGCACTAGAGAAATGTAAATCATATTTGACCTAGTGGGTTCATTTGGGTGTTGGGTAGAAAGGGGAAATGGGAATTATTTGTGTCTGTGGTGTCGGCTAATATTCATTGACAAATGTGGCCCACCAAGTCTTCTCAACTAACAGATGGACGACTAAAATGAGCTACCTCTAACTGAAACACAAGCATCTAGATTGGCATAGGTCATCTGAAAGTGGCTGCAAATTCAAAAATATTCCTCTTTTACCCAGATACATTTTGTGTAGCAACATATTGTATGGTAAAATCTTTTAGTCTGTGCACAAGAAACACTGATGTCAGCATTGTTTTAAGGAAGGAGTAGGAAACCTTTTTCCTACCAGGGGCCACTGATCTGTAGGAAAAATCGGTCACAGGTTTTGTGCAACTAGGCAGGTGGGTCAGGCAAGAGGTGCAGACTCTGGGTGGGAGTTGTGAGGCTGAAGTAGGTTCAGGGCCACTGCAGGAGGGGATGTGGGATGCTTATTTCCAGCAGCTCCTGGATTCAGAAGCAGTCAGCATGTGCCCCTGTGGCAGGGGTCAGGTGGCTCTGCACGCTGCCCTCGCCTACAGATGCCGCCCCCACAGCTCCCATTGTCTGTGGTTCCCAGCCAGTGGGATCTCTGTGGGCAGCGCCTGTAAGCAAGCGCAGCACACCAGAGCTTCCTGGATTGCCTTGAGTCAGCACACGCAGCTTCAGCCCCATAGGGGGAGTGCCGAGACTCGGGGCTTCCAGCCTGCTGCATGGAGACTTGCTGTGAGTTGGATTAAATTAAGCTTGGGGCCTGAGGTTCCCCACCACTTCTTTAAGGTGTGTGGGCCCATTATTTCTTCTGCGCCTTGCAGAAGTTGGAGTGTCACTTAGATGTTCCTCCTACCTGAGAAGGGAAACAAAAAGTCTATTTTCTTGTTTGGAGCTGGTGACTTAGGTCTCTTGTTCTGAAGCCTTAAGTGTTCTTTGGTAACTTTTTGCTAAATAATTGATCAGATTGGTGTTTTTTTTTCTTGTTGGTAAAAATGATCTTTTAAATGCTTTAGTTGTTAGTATTTTTGCCTCATATCTAAAAAGTTTGTGGTATATTTTGATATTGATTTGACCTTTGTCTTCCACTGGAATGTTATCCCAGGAGCATCTCTCACTTCTGTAGAACATCTTCCATTTATAGCGTCTTAACACCACATATTTTGAAATGACAATGTCTCTGATTGCTGAGCCGGGAAAGAGACTATAATATTGGTTTTTGGTTCTGTCAAATAGTTGCTTAAAAATAACTGCCTTCAGCTCGAAGTGGTATTTCGGTAGCAAATAAGATAGCTGAAAAGCCTTGTGGTTAACAGTATTAACAATCTGTAATTGGAATGCTGTACCTATATGCAATAAACATATAGCAATAATTTGGCATATGATACAGGAGCTTTTGATTCTTAACAATTAATAAAAGTACCTGAGAGCTAAAAATACTGAATCTGCTCTCTGAGGTCAGGTCTATGCTGTCAACTTACATTGGTGTAACTGTGTTGGTCAAATGGCAAAAAATCCACACCCTTAAGCAACATAGTTACTCCAGCCTGGCCACTGGTGTAGACAGCAATATGTTGATGGAAGATTTTTGTCCTGTTGATATACTTAGCACCTCTAATGGAGGTGGATTAAATACCCTGATGGATGGATGGGGTGGTTACCTTGAGGGAACTTACAAGGTTCATCTACAGTACATAGGCAGTATTCAGCATTGTTGGAATTCCATTAGCAAGAAGTCTCCAACTGCACTTGTCATTCAGATTTGTGTGTGGTTCTTTCTTTAAAGTCTGAGGTAGAAAGAACAATTAGTCCCTTTTTTGCTGCACATCTTTCCAGTTGTTTCCTGCCCTTGCTCCATGACCCAGGAACATGGTGTCCTCTTTAGGACCTGAAGTTCCCACCCCACTGGCCTCTCACCCCCTTCCAGAGGTATCATATCAGCGTTCCTCAGTCTTGCACTGGTCACTGTGGCCAACTGCAACTTCATTCTAGCCCCTTACTTCAGGAGCAAGCCACAGTCTCTGAAGGCCACTCCTCAGTTGGCAAGGTATGGCACAAAGGGGAAGAGGGGACCCAGGCCTGCCTACTACTCTGTCCCAACCCAGCGACCCTCTGGTGGCAGCCTTGTTGTGCCCTCCTTCTCTTCCCTTCTACTGCCTCCTGTTTCCTGGGCCACTTCCTCTGTAACCCCTGCACCTTCCTGGCCTTTGCATCAAGACCTGCAGCCTGGTACATGTCAGTCCTGCACCCTCCCTGGTCAGGACCCAACTGCTGTCTTTCTCCTCTGAGCAGCTCCTTCTTTATAGGGCTACCCCAGCAAGCTGCCCTCTGACGGGCTTCTTAAAAGCCTCTCCCTAATTGGCCAGTGCTCTGCAACCGCTCTAGCCTGCTTTAGTCCTTTCCAGTCAGAGAGGGGCAGCTGCCTCACTACACCATCTCATTATACAAAACACTAATTTAAATCTTATGCCCACAACTACTGGACAACTTTTATATTTGAGGTTTTGAAATTTGTATAGAAAAGCACCGACGCAACAAAATTCATCTAAATAATTATTAGATTAACTATTGTCAGAGCCTTTATCAGAGCTTTATTTCAAGTCAGGCTAGAAATCCTGCTGATAGTCAGATTTTGATAGTTAATGTGAATATTTGCTGGTTTGTCATTTTACCTGCCTATGTGACCCACAAATGCTAACCTTTAGTATCTTGTGATTCTAATAGCTGGTTGTATTTAGGAACATAATTTTTCAATTGTAAAACACTGTGCATTTGAAGTGACCCTAATTGGAGCATCTGTTAAATGCAATCAGCTTTTAATAGAAAATAAACTGTAAGCAGGTACACTTACTGGCTTTTCTTCCTAATCTTGCTAGATTTGATACCATATTAATTTGATTGCCTGCAAAAACACATTTGTGGGTGTTTATTACATATTGTTCAGTCACAAAATGAAATATGAAAAACGAGCTAACTGCACACTTCATTTCCTAGAAGATTATATTGCAAGTTGACTCAGCATCTGCTGGTAGCACAAGATTTCCTTGTTTAGTTTTGGCAGGAACTCTTAACTTTAACTAGCTTCCTGGATGTTTATACAATACCTTGGAAAATTATGCTGCCAGCTGTTGTCTTAAGCGCTTCTTTTTATTGATTTTAAAAGGTTAAAGTAAAGTAAATCAACTTGCAGTGGTTACAAGATGCCTTCCAAACATATTTCATTGAGCCTCAAAATGCTCTAATCAATCTTTTAGTAGAAGCAAACATACTTCCTTCTGAAGGAGGGGATTGCTATGTGATTAGATCACGTACCCTGTGCCTTTGGAGCAGGATTTTTTAATGTAACCTTCCACAAATCCCTGACCTCTGACCCTGAGTTTTCCCTTCAGTAATGTTGAGGATACTACTTCCCAATTTAGAGGGAGACATAGTGAGCCTGCTGTAGACTGAGACTGCTCCAGCCCCCTCTGCCCGCACCCCCTTTGATCGGTTAAACAGAATGTTTAACCACTTAACCAATTCAATGGGATTTTACATTCCTAGTGAGGGCCCGTTCTGCTCAAGCATAGGCAACCTGAGGTGCATTTCTTCAGGAAGTACCTATGCTGTATGCTTGTAAGATAGCAACCTGGAGCACTATCTATACTTTCATGAAGCACTATGCTTTAGTCCAAGTCTTTTTTTACTATTGCTTGACATTCACTCATATGTAGAATGCAATTGGGGACTAGTGCTCAAAATGGTAATGAAAGTAATGTATCTGTAACACGATTCTTGATGTGTAGTCCCTATCTGAATTCTACTCTCCGACCTGCTTCCCCTCTGATTTGCCTCATGAGTGGATTTGTGGTAGAGAGGAAAATAGAGACCTGGTCCCTCTGCATCTCCCCTTTATACCCTCAGTATTGAACGCAAGGAGATCCAGGGCACAGACATAGATAAACTGGCAATACTTGCAAGAATTGCCAGTCTCAGGTGTGTAGTGCACCTACGGATCCCACATTTGGGATACACATTGGGATCAGACATCTGAAAGAACTTCCAGTTGCAAGTAAGCTATCTCCATTTCCTATAGTTTACAGTTTGAGTTCCTATTTTCATTGGGCAGCACTGGCTCTGAGCTTGCAATGTTGCCATTCTAAATTTGGAATCCTTTACCCATTAGCATGTATGCATGAGGCCATTCTGAAATGTTTTTTAGAAGTACGATGTGGTGCTCCTTGGCACAGTATGAAGACTGTTTGCTTATTCCTGGTGTCAAGGGTTTTATTTTTGATGCTCTCAGGAAGCTAACTCAGCTATTCCGTTTTTAATATCTGATGACTTAGGGAACAGATCCTGCGTGTGAAGGCTGAAGAGGACAAAATCCCTTTGCTTGTGGTGGGAAATAAATCTGACCTGGAGGAGCGCAGGCAGGTGCCTGTAGAAGAGGCCAGAAGTAAAGCTGAGGAGTGGGGTGTGCAGTATGTAGAAACTTCTGCCAAAACTAGAGCAAATGTAGATAAGGTAAGGCAATGAGCTTAATTTGTACTGCAGTAGAATTCGTCATTCAGTAGAGAGAGAGACTAATTCTTACTATGTTCTGGGACAAAGGCACAATTGATAGGTGGGTTTTTGTTCCTCTTTCAATAGCCTAAACTAGTAATGTTTCAGTTAATGAATATATTGCACATTAAAGTAAACATTTGTGTTTTGTTTCTATCTATGTAACATGTCAAAATCCCGTTTAATTTGCTTTGTATAGATACAAGTGTAGTGAGCCCTTGTATAATGGCAAACTTTCAGGCGATGTCTTGAAGTATAGTAGATTTCTTTGTGCTCTCAATTCACTGAAGTGCAGGGTTTCATTTATATTACATCTTGAAATGCTCAGTAGAGAGAGTTACTAACTGTAAGTTCAGCCCATTATAAAACAGTTTCAGCCAGCTGCCCCCACCACCGGTTCCTGTTCCTCCCATCTCCCCTTGCTGTGTCTCAGAGTGGGCTCTTAAAAGCTGCCCCCTGGGCCCGTTCTGCTCAAGCATAGGCAACCTGAGGTGCATTTCTTCAGGAAGTACCTATGCTGTATGCTTGTAAGATAGCAACCTGGAGCACTATCTATACTTTCATGAAGCACTATGCTTTAGTCCAAGTCTTTTTTTACTATTGCTTGACATTCACTCATATGTAGAATGCAATTGGGGACTAGTGCTCAAAATGGTAATGAAAGTAACGTATCTGTAACACGATTCTTGATGTGTAGTCCCTATCTGAATTCTACTCTCCGACCTGCTTCCCCTCTGATTTGCCTCATGAGTGGATTTGTGGTAGAGAGGAAAATAGAGACCTGGTCCCTCTGCATCTCCCCTTTATACCCTCAGTATTGAACGCAAGGAGATCCAGGGCACAGACATAGATAAACTGGCAATACTTGCAAGAATTGCCAGTCTCAGGTGTGTAGTGCACCTACGGATCCCACATTTGGGATACACATTGGGATCAGACATCTGAAAGAACTTCCAGTTGCAAGTAAGCTATCTCCATTTCCTATAGTTTACAGTTTGAGTTCCTATTTTCATTGGGCAGCACTGGCTCTGAGCTTGCAATGTTGCCATTCTAAATTTGGAATCCTTTACCCATTAGCATGTATGCATGAGGCCATTCTGAAATGTTTTTTAGAAGTACGATGTGGTGCTCCTTGGCACAGTATGAAGACTGTTTGCTTATTCCTGGTGTCAAGGGTTTTATTTTTGATGCTCTCAGGAAGCTAACTCAGCTATTCCGTTTTTAATATCTGATGACTTAGGGAACAGATCCTGCGTGTGAAGGCTGAAGAGGACAAAATCCCTTTGCTTGTGGTGGGAAATAAATCTGACCTGGAGGAGCGCAGGCAGGTGCCTGTAGAAGAGGCCAGAAGTAAAGCTGAGGAGTGGGGTGTGCAGTATGTAGAAACTTCTGCCAAAACTAGAGCAAATGTAGATAAGGTAAGGCAATGAGCTTAATTTGTACTGCAGTAGAATTCGTCATTCAGTAGAGAGAGAGACTAATTCTTACTATGTTCTGGGACAAAGGCACAATTGATAGGTGGGTTTTTGTTCCTCTTTCAATAGCCTAAACTAGTAATGTTTCAGTTAATGAATATATTGCACATTAAAGTAAACATTTGTGTTTTGTTTCTATCTATGTAACATGTCAAAATCCCGTTTAATTTGCTTTGTATAGATACAAGTGTAGTGAGCCCTTGTATAATGGCAAACTTTCAGGCGATGTCTTGAAGTATAGTAGATTTCTTTGTGCTCTCAATTCACTGAAGTGCAGGGTTTCATTTATATTACATCTTGAAATGCTCAGTAGAGAGAGTTACTAACTGTAAGTTCAGCCCATTATAAAACAGTTTCAGCCAGCTGCCCCCACCACCGGTTCCTGTTCCTCCCATCTCCCCTTGCTGTGTCTCAGAGTGGGCTCTTAAAAGCTGCCCCCTCCCCAGCATCAGCTCCGCAGTGCCACCTGTCCCTCCCACTCCGCCCTGCAGCCTCTATCAGAGGCGGCAGAGGAGGCTGCTGCAAAGCAGCCCCTGTTCACAGGGGGTCTGAACTCAGCTCCGATAGAGGCTCCCATGGAGCAGGACCCTCTGTGGATAACCTCTGTATGTGGAGGGCCCAGGTGGACCTGAAGGAGGCAGAGCAGCCTCTGTCCACAAGGAGCTCAGGCCCCCCACTTATAGGGGCTGCTGCCACCCCGCACTGCAGCCTCTGTATCAGAGGGCAGCAGGTCTGCATGGGGAGCTGGTTTTTAAACTGGTACAGAGGCAGCAGCATGGGGTAGCAAGGAGTTCCCCAGAAGTGAGACCAGAGGCTCCTGGTCCCGCCCCTGGGGACTATAGAATAGTCAAGTAATTAATAAGAACTCATGCGGTTACTCAACTATTAAGTTGCCTGATACCTCACATCCCTATAGGTAACATTTTCAGATTTCTTGATGAGCAAGCTAAAGTAATACATATCTCCCTAGTCTGGTTTAACAATGGAAGTGATGGGGGAAGGAGTAGTAGGAGAAAGGTTTTAAGCCTTTGTCTGAAGAGTACTTTACTCCCTGAGTAGCCCTATTGAAGGCGTATTTCAGGAAGCACAGCTTAAGCATGGGAAACCAAACCAGGAGACCTGGTCTCTTGAGTCCAGTTCTGACTTGCAGCATGACGTGTGTGCTTCAGTTTTATAATCTATAAAATCAGATCGATAATGTTGCAGATTTTGAGTATTTTGGGTTAGTGACTCTTCGTCTGCATTTGGAAAGTGCCTAGCACACTGCACTTCCCTTGTAAATTCACCCTGGATCTCCAGATGAGATTAAAGAAAAAATCAAAGGCTTAACTTTCTCCAAACATGTTACTGGTATCTTTCAGCTTCCGAATACTCTGGAAATAGATGTATATTGACCATATTACTTATAAATGCAAGGTATGTGGAGGGGTAACTGGTTAACCGGTTATCCAGTAAGCATTGTCTTGCCGGCATGCTTATGGAGGTAACAAGTTAACTGGCTCCTGGCCTGGCTGGAGCAGCCCATTGGCTGCAGTGTGACAGGCCCTGCCTGCCCCAGCTGGAGCAGCCCACCCAGGCCCACTGCACTGTGGAAGGGGGCTGCTCCCATGAGCTTCCACAGTGCAACGTGCTGGGCCGGTTAACCAGTTAAACATAGTTTAATCAATTAACATTTTAAACGGGATTTTACATCTGTAGTTACTGCATTTTGTTACTACTACGTTCTGTCTCAGAGATGGGCAGTAAGTAGCCCGGGGGATGGATGCAGTTTACCAGGGTTAACAACTGGTGGGCTGATGGACTCTTTATTTACCAATGCAGCCTGAGGTATGGCTGCTCGCCGTTCCAGTTGGCTGCGGTTCATCATTCCCAGGCACTGGGAGCAGTGCCCAGCCGTACCTGTGGGGACACAGGTAAATCATCTGGCAGCCTGCTGGGGGCCAAACCTGGTGAACCACGACTGGCCTTTGGGCTGCTTATTCTCCTCCCTTTCTCTTTCTAGAGAGAAAATGTCATCCTGTATAGACCATTCCGATCTAGCCCCTTTCACATCTCTTAAGGTTAGGGGCACTCCTGCAACAGCAGTGGCTTAAATTAAATGAGTTTTGTATTTGCCATGTAAACAACATCTTTGAAGTGTGTGAATTGCAACACGTGCTAGTTTGGAATCACTAGGTCTTATTTAAATCTCCTTGTCTGGAGTAAAATGAAGCATTTTTTCTTCTTTTGGGAAAGATCTCGTACTTGTGCTTTTTAGATACAGCGTCTGAGGGTCATGTTCTTGCTATGTCTCAATGATTTGTCTATTAAATCCAATAAAATATCTACTTGGGGAACTTTAAGAGCTCACTGTCACACACAAGTTAACTATTAAAAGGATTATTCCAATAGACTTCTGTAATCCTGAGAATTCCATTATTCTAGCTATAGGCTATAGATTAGGCATAGAGCATCTTTTTAACAGGTCAGCTGGTATTTTATTGTCCATCTAAACATTGAAATTGAGTAAAATTATACTTTCTTAAAAAGCATGTTCTTGTGCATCTAGAATTTTTAGTATACAGTGTAAGAAGAAAACCCAGGTTTGATCCTGGCTGTCTTTTAAAATTTCTTTTTCCTTTTGTGTTCTAGTTTTAGTTGAGGAAGATTTTTTCCCCCAATTAGCATATAGGTTTAGAGATTGGGAGTAGAGTCTACTTGACATGTGATCTTTGTGTATTCAGTTAAATTCTGTTTCTAAGAATCTCTAAATTTTTTCCTTCCATAAAATAAGGTTAATATTAAGGTGACGTATTAATTCCATAATGTGTTGAAGGTACTATCCAAGGCTATTTTATTTGTCTCCTGGCTTCATTTTTCTTGAGTTAATTGTAATCATTCTCCTATGATTAGTATAAATGTCATAGATCCCTATAAAAACCCTGCATAACACTGCATATTGCTTTGCTACAATTAAGTTGATACTCATTAAAAAAGGCTTTTATCATTTTGAAACAGGCTGCCGAATGACTTAGTAGCTAGGTAAGTCCTTTTCCCTTCCCCTGATTCATGTACTGCATAAATACAGGTGTTAAATTAGTAGCATTGGGATCTATGTTTAGATTACTCATTTTATTTTATTAGGTGCTTTGTTCTTGTGTTACATTTTTGTTTGCCAAATGCTCTAGTTTATGCATCAATATACCAATTTATTTTCTGCTGTCAGAACTGTTGTTTTAATCTCCAATATGTTTAACTTTCCAGGTATTCTTTGATCTAATGAGAGAAATCAGAGCAAAGAAAATGTCAGAAAACAAAGACAAGAATGGGAAGAAAAGTGGCAAGAACAAGAAAAGCTTTAAAGAAAGATGTTGTTTACTGTGATCCTTAGGAACTGTAAATATCTATCAATGGAATGAATAAGACTTGCCACTAACGGTATAGGGCTGGATTCATGAAAGGAAGTTTGTATTGATTCCCTTATCATATTTTTATTCACTTAACCGCCTTTTAAAATGCAAACATTTAATTTATGAATTAGTCAACAGAAACTTGAGGATGTGTACACTGAAATGGACTCACCTTGTCAGCAAGTTTCAAAGCTGGAATTTTACCTGCAAATATGGCTCTTTGGGCATTTTATTTCTGTCCGCAGGAAGTAATCCTATGTCAATTTCAAAGTAATAGCTTCTTGTTGTCCTTTTGAATCTGTTCTTTTTCCATCAAACCTATTTTGGCCTCACCAAACATCTCTGATTGTCTTAAGTTCAACTGAATTTTTCATTATCTATGCACTCACTGACTTAAATGGGGTTTCTTTTATTAATAATAAATATAGACAAACCAGTATTTGGCAAGAATTTTTCAGATTCTCACAATCTTTAAGTGGCTGTTGATATTTTCTGACTGTCACAAGTCTATCTGGCCGCTAACATTTTGAAGTTTTGGGAGTAGTCACTCAAAAGCAAATTAGTATCTGTTCAATTATTAATCAATACAATATTCATGAATCAAGCCTACTGACTGAAATCTGACTTAGTTTGGTAATGTAACATTTGGTATTTAAATGCTGGTTAGTTGTATTTCCAATTGGCTTGTTTCCTCTCATGAGGCTTTTTTTAACACAACAAAAAACAATTATCTGGTGGGTGGGGAGGAGACCTAAAACAGAACTGTATTTATAATTTTTTTAGAAAGGAAACAAATTGGAAATAAATAACAACCCCCCTCTCCCCTAATTATTATTATTCTGTATTGAGGCTAGATTCATACAGTTGCGTCTACTTCATCAGCTCTTAAGATAATGATTTTGAGGAAGGGGACTAAGCTGTTTAAAGTGTAGATTATCTATTTTGTTATATTGAAAAACATGTATTCATGTCTTGTAGATCTACAAACTACCATGCCTCTGCTTTCCATTTTGTTTAAGACAAACATTTTTTTCTTTTTGAGAGAGGACATGGGGCACTGATCACAAAACCATGAGAGTGGAATGAATGTGAGGCTTTTGTGCTACCTCGCAACTTGACACAGTTACTTGGCTAGTAAGTAAGTTGCTAAATGTCAAAAACAAACTTGAAATGACGTTAGGCAACTGTTGTATATTATGTTACTTGCTGTTAATTTTTAGTGTACTGTTCCTCTGCACATTTATCTAAAATATGGAGACATTTTTGCTGAGCTTTTCTGTCAAAGCCGCAGTTGAATAGTCTTAAATAATCAACTACCTTAGAATAGAAATGCAAGAAGTATATGGGAAACATCAGTATTTAGCAGTTCTTGTCTCTGAGATTCACTTAAATACTTTTCTCAACTTAATGGTTTCAATCAAGTACCATTTCCAAAAATATATATTTCCATTTTGTTGCAGTAGCAGAAATTATCACCTTTATAATACCCTGCTTCTGGATTACATTTTATAGAGCTTCCCAATGAAGTACAGAAAAATTCCTTGAATTTTTAACAAGTAGATGCATATTATCCGAAAACTAATTTTTCAGCTTGTCTGATTTGTTACTTCAAATGCAGCTACGCCGAGAAAAGAATACATTGTGGAATGAAAGATGTGTAAGTGCTAAACAAACTAATATTGTTAGCTCGATCCTTAAATGGGTGGGAGCATAGCAGAGGCAGGAAGGGTTTAATTCAAAATTTAATGAAGTATCTAGGCATGGCCAAATGTGTGTGTGTTAATAATTTTGACAGATCAGTTCTTAAGCATTATTTTTTTATTTTTTATCATTTTTTTTCTTTTTCTTTTTTTAAAGTACAATTGCTGGAATTTGAGGACTGGTCAGGCACTAATTATTTAGTGACATTGAGATTCAAGGAAGTTAGGGTTTTTTAAACCAGGAGACTCAAATTGTCAACATCCCATGTTAAAATATTCAAAATAAATATCCTTATCAAATTCTGATATGTTCTTAAACAGCATTTTTCTTTGTCTGCCACTGTAATTTTGATTATCATTGGTGGAAATATTTTTTTATCTGTTTGTGTCGTGACTTCAACACTTATCAATAAAAATCAAATTCTTCCAATACTAAATGTAGCTAACCTCTAGGATTACTGAAGTATATTCCTATTGTTCTAGATTGCTGCACTTGTGCATTCCACTTAGAGATTTGAAAAGGAAAATAAAGTTCAATATACAATGGACCTTATGAGACTGAGGTCTTGCATGACCTTCCGAGTTTCCTATCCTATTAATTCATTGTATTCCATGTCTTGGTGGTGTTACTTGTCAAGTGCCATATCAGAGAGGGAGAATCATGTATTAAATCAAGGGTGCTATAATCTATTTTATTGTTAATTTAAATTACGATATTGTTCTAGGTTGACCATTTTTTGAGCGATAGAACTTTGAAAACGTTAGCCTTTAAAACTTGACAGTTAGGGTCAGAATGCCATTACAAAGCTAGATTGACCCGGAGCATAAAAACATGAAAATGTAGGAGCTATTTGGCTCTTTAAAAACAAAAACCCCTTGTTTACAGCTATTTTATTTAAACCCCGTGCAAGAGTAGTGGGTGTAGTTATGTCATATAACATAAAGGGATGCGTTTGGATGAGATGTTATTACACACTTTACAGTGTCACTCATAGCATCTTAATGCTTAAACTTTTCATTTGTAATAGGTCTGACTTTTTTCATTGTCTACACTCTGCATTTCTTGATCTGAAAAATTAAAATAGGCTAGTCAGTTTTACTTCTGTTTATAGTCTCTCTGTAAGTCCCTTTCAGATTCTCATAGGTAAGCACAGTGCCTCAGTATTTTTACTGCAAATATAGCTGGTAAATCTTAATTCTTGGAAAAAACTGTTCTCAGTGGCGTTTTAGAAAGATTGATGGGAACACTGGTATTGGTAAGTTGTTTTAAATAGCATATATATTTTTGGTCCAAATCTTTTTTCCTAACCTCTCTAAAATTTTAGCGGCACTTAGACTTGTAAGAATGTATTATGTTGACCTCCAGTTTTCTTGAATAGCATTGAGAGGAAAAACAAGCATATAAAATATGTCTCATCAAGGTTCACTGGAGTGTAACATTTAATTAAAAAGTGATTTAAGTTGCTTATAAATCAGAGTGCACTTGACCAGAGTCTCAAACAGGCAGCTTATTTAGAACTGGAAACAGGTATGCATTTTGTGCTAATACCCAACGATCCCATTAACCTTCTTAGAACGGTTGTATTATGTGATAGGAAACACTTTTTAAAAACAAAACAGATATTTTGTTATTGCACAAGGTGTTCCTGTGTGTTGTAACCCCCATCAGACACACTGCGGGCAGAGTAGTTCTTATTTTTAATGTACAATGAGAACTGGACACTCCGGGTGACTTTCAACTGTAGTAAAAACTTGCTTTGTCTTTTTGAGTTAGACTTGCTTGTGAGGAAGATACTTAGCAGTTTTATGTTCTTTAATCACTACTCATTAACACTTTTCCAAACATCACAGCATTTGCATCAATGGGGCAGACAGCTTGAGAGAACATTCTGTGAGAGCTTTCAGTGTGTCTCTTTCCCAAAACCCAGAAGTAACTTACGAACTTGAGACAGCAGCTTTCAGTTCTACGTTTCAGTTATGTCAGATGCAGAAAAGAGAACTTTCCTGGAAATCTCTTCTCAGTTTGTTGTCCATGAACAAGGGATAACTCAGTGGTTTGAGCATTGGCCTGCTAAACCCAGGGTTGTGAGTTCAGGGTTGTGAGTTTGCCATTTAGGGATCTGGGGCAAATCTGTCAGGGATGGTACTTGGTCCTACCGTGAGGGCAGAGGACTGGACTCGATGACCTCTCAAGGTCCTTTCCAGTTCTATGAAATAGGTATATCTCCATAACAAGGTAGCTACTTTGGTTCAAACAAAATTTCGTAAGTGGCCAACATTTATCTTCAAAAATACTTGTGTGAAGAACTGTTAGTCTGATTTTTAATATACCAGCCAGGTAATAAACTGCATTCCTGGCCTGGAAGTTGTGTGGTGGTGGTGTGTTAAACTCCTTGTCTTGGGAAGTGCCTCACACTTGGCTGTTCTCTGTCCTCCCAAGTAGAGGGAGTACCAGAGTGACCTCAGGTGATTTCCAGTTCTGTTTGGCTGGAGATACATAAACTCAAGAGGGGGTTGTTGAGACTGCGATAGTAGTTAAAGGATGGAGGAAAGAACTATGTTTTCTTGTTGGGGGCCCATAAGAAGGGGCTGAAATGAACCATTTTCTGAGCTGATCCTAATCTAGATGTGCAATCATAAATCAAGTGTGGAAAGTGGAGAGAATTTGGTAGGTTAGCAAACACATATATCCTACTACCCATGTGAATTAAAGCAATTGAAGGTTCAAAACGGCAGCTTTTGAAGGTCAGGTTTAAGCAAGATTGGGGTCACAGTCAGAAACGTTCCCATCAGATTACCATGACAGATCTTTCCAATGATTGTCCGCTCTCCTTAAAACCTGGATGCATGGAACAATATTTGTGAAAACGTGAGTCTGATAGTCACGCAGGACTAGAATGCCAGAACTTGAGTATATTACTAACGCAAAATGTGGTTTCAGTATTAAAATTGAGGGGTCTGCTGTGGTACCAATACGATCCACTTCAGTAGAGAGCATGGTTACACTCTGAAGGCTGTCTAGCACATCAGGCTTCATTTCTAGTGTGTGTAGAGTTATCCTTGAGGCAACTCACCACTCATTAGTATTAATGGGCACCTTTGAATTCTAGCTCTGAAAGGTGCCACAGATTATATAATAAAGAAACTGACCTGACCCTCAACCTTACAGGGATCTCTCCAGGTCAGAGATCCATTAAAACAGTGAGGAGAGAAGCTTCCCTGTTGCTGTCCATTACTTACGTGTTCTATGGATTGACGTATATTGGATATGTTAATTCAACTTCTGAGAGCCCTGAACAAATTCACATGGCGTTTTTTAGGCAACATGCAGAAGGGCACACCTGCATACTTACTGGGCGTTAGATATTGGTATGACTTCAATGGCAGCCAATCGGCGTTCCAATTGTAGCCTATAAAGCTGTTTGTTTTGCATTTTAGAGAAGAATCCAATTAAAATCACCTTAGGCATTAAAATCACAAAACATTAATCTTTCTTCAGATATAAGAAGGGTAAATCCTTGTCATACCCAAACCACACAATATACATTGTGTTAAATCCATTTAAAAAAGAAAGCTAAACAAAATTAAATCAGTGGTTTTGCAAGAGCCAACAGAATTACTCTACCTCCCACCATCACCTCCCATGAACGGTTATCTAGCTCATTAAAGTACTGAGGAAAGTGAATTTTTGATGTTTATTATAGCAGTTGCCATATGGGACTTGAGTTTGCTATATAGTTTAGACTTTTGCACCAAGATCCAGGCCTATGGTTCATTCTAATAGCATTTCCAGTGTAATCTTCAGACCGCACAGGAATAGTAGGAGTTACTTTTGGGGTAAAAAAGGAGAAAACATCCTTTTTATGGAGCCTCAAGTACTATGTATACCATAGTGAAGTGATACTAATGACAGGAAGGATTAAAAAGAAATTGCCTTTTTCAATTATGTATGCTGTACTACACAGTGTAAATTCTACTTAGAAATTGCCTTTTTCAATTATGTATGCTGTACTACAGAGTGTAAATTCTACTTCTGTAGATCAAGAAAAAATCTTTTTTTCAAACGTTGCACAAACATTTCTTTAAATGTTCATAAAAATGTATTTTAGCCATTTTGTATTCATTATCATGCTAATCCAACTGATTTGTATTACTATTGTTAATAAAAAGAGAAATATGTACAATACATTGCTTGCTTTGCTGGTTATTAGTAGTATTGTCACGCCTTCGCTCCTCCTTACTGGACCTACTATGTGTTTACAGTTGTCTTGGCAAACATCCCACAGTTATCTATCTGGTTAGCTTGCCCTGGGCTATAGTCTTTCAAGACCATTCCCCCTGCCCAGTAACCTGGCTCAAAGCAACTGTTGATTAAGTAAACTAGTGGCACAGTAGGAACTTGTGGAGACAGTCCTCTCTGGTTTTCCAGTCATGCAAGAACACTCACAAAGCTATCCTAAAGTACAGGGCCTCAAAAATTGGGTGCCATTTGATGACAGAAGGGTCGTAGTGTATGTCTTTACTCAAAATACTGCAAAAACAGCTTGAACAGGTGGATTTCACTCTGTGCTGTACTTCAGGTCCCTTTTGGTCTACAAAGTGGCCTTTTCCTAATGGATTTCTTCCTTACTGAAGAAAAACATCTATTCACCTGACAATACAAAGGTGATGAAAATCAAAACAAGAGACTTTCAAGTGAGAGCAAGAGGTGAACCTGCTGTTACTATTTCAATGGTGTCTGGAGCCTCACTCAGGATCGAGGCCCTGTTTCCCTAAGTAACCTACAACTACATGGTAGAATTCAAGAGTTTACAATCTAAGACAAGATGTGACTATGCCCAGTTTTGGATGCACATATGAGGAAAGATTTGAACATGAACAATCCATAGGGCAAAAGCAAAAATGATAAAACGTTTAGAAAACCTGATAGAGGATGAAAGTTTTAAGAAACTGGGCACGTCTAGTCTTAATAAAAGATGATGAAGGATCTCTTAAGTTTTCAGGTATGTTAAGGGCTGTTATAAAGAGGATGGTGATCAATTGTTCTCTATATCCACTGAAAATAGGACAAGCAGTAATATGCTGTATGTGCAGTAAGGAGTACTTGCATTAGAGGTTAAGACATGTTACTGTGGCCACGTCTACACTGGCCTAGAAAATTGATGCAAGATATGCAACTCCAGCTCTGTGAATTATATAGCTGGAGTCGACGTACCTTGCACCAATTTTCTGGGATGGCCCTGCAGTGGGAGGTCAATGGGAGAAACACTCCCAGTAATTTCTCTTACTCGCAACAGCAAGGAGTACCAGCACTGACAGGGGCACCCTCAGCATTTAATTTAGTGGGTCTTTATTAGACCTGCTAAACGAAATCCCAGAGGATCAACTGCCAGAGCATTGATCCTTTGGCAAGTGGAGACAGGGCCTCTGTAAGGATAGTTAAGCTCTGAAATAGACTTCAAAGGGAGGTTGTAGAATCCTCATCATTGGAAGTTTTTAAGACTAGGTTGGGCCTGTGAGGGATACTCTAGGACAGGTTTTCTTGGTCCTGCTATGGCAAGGGGAGCTGAACTTGATGACTTCTCTAGATCACTTCCAGACTTGCATTTCTGATGAAGTGAGTGCCAGACAACTGGAGGGAATGAAGGAGGATGGACAGTAGAAACAAACATCCCAGCTGTGTGTGTCATATGTTGACTTGAATCATTGAAAGCTCTAATCTGTACATAAAGTAGATAGCAGACATCTCTACTATACAGCTACCTCCTTTCTCCTTTAGGAATGTCTAGACGCAGCAGAGCTGAACCTTATGAACACTTCATATGCCCTGTTGGGTCTTCCACCATCAGCACATTGTGCATGTGTTATGATCTCCGCCTTCCTATTTGTGTTGTATTCTGCCTCACCTTTAACATTGTATTCTCTTGTGTGATTGTTTCCTGCGCACAAAGTGCTGTCTATTTCTGTGGTACTCTAGGATAAACACTTGAGTCTATTCCTGAAAAGAGCTGGCTCCACCTTGTGGCCTCAAAGATGAGAACTTGGATATGAAGCTACTATTGAGAGAGACTGTTTGAAATTGCTCTTGTGAGTATAACAAGTATGCATTGAGTCTGTTACCTGAATCACCCATAAAGAGCCACACAGAGAGGATGCTTTTTATTCTGGATATTCTGCTTTATGGTGACTCTCAATGCAGTAAAAGGCCTAGTTTTAATTTAAAAACTTCCTTTGCCATACAAACACTACACTGAATTCCTGCTTTAGAATTTCCTTATGCAAGAGAATCTTCAGTTTCTTATGAGGATAGTGGCTTTAGTAAGGTTTCTGTGGCATTAAACTAGTGAGTCTGGCCAAGTGGAAATGGGTGCTGATTAGCAAGTACTGATTGATTTGTATGTCAGTGAAGAAGGAAGTGTGTCGCTCAACAAGATTTTGTAATATTTCACAAGCATTTGTTTCTAGGGGTAATTTAAGGCACTGATTTAAATTCACCACAAAAAACCCTGGCCCCCCACCATTTAGGATATCTTCCATTTAAAAATTATCTGCTACCATTCTTGTAGTCAAAGAGCAGTGTAGAAATGGAAGTTAATGGCCCTGAGATTTTAACTCTAGAGCACTGGAGGCAGAATGTTAAGGTGAAATTGGGGCCATCTGATCTGGGATTTACTTTTGTTCTGATCAAGGCAGTTTGACTCCAAGAATCCACTACTTCAGTGACTGGATTGTTCTTTGGGAGTTGTGTTCTATTTTTATGTAAGCAATTTTCATTCATCGGTTGCTTTTAATAGCTCATAAAAGCACTCAGACTGCTGAAGGCTGTGTATTTAACAAATCAGTGTAAATACTGGCATTTATTGGCCTATAAATTCTGGATGCACAGAAACTTGCATGTGTTTGTGTGTGCCCTCAACACAGTGGCAGATGGCAGGATAGAATAGAATTCTCTTTGGATAGAACCCAGATTTATTTACTCTCTCTCCCCTTTTCCCCCCCACCCCTCCCAAATCTTGATGATCCTTGTTTTAGTAACACAACTCACTGATGATAAAAGTAATGCTACCTCAGTTCCTGGAATGTTGTTGAGAACTTTTTGGTACCTAAACTTAGACTTTTACTTATTTCGTGCACGACTCAAAGTGAAGTTTCTCTCATTTCAATGTACGGAAGGTCCTTGCACAGTCAGGATCTATTTATTAATCAATACAACATAACACCTTGTAGAGTGCTGAGGCCAAAGGGGAGGGAGTATGTGTAAAATAATGAATATCAGTTTGACTTCTCATTCTGTTAACTACTGTAGAGAATTGATCCAAACTACTGTGGACATCAAACATTTTGAGAAGTGTCCTGTGTCCAAGGGAAGTGTGTAAACCTGTTGCTCCCGGTTGAGATTCCATTGGTGTCCCATCTAGGAAGGATGTTAGTTTGTGGTCCGTTTCCCCAAAGCTTGGTACTTTAGCTTCAGCGGACACTAAAGTCAATGCTTTATGTTTGCAAGTCTCTGGTTCAATCCCCAGTGTCAGCAGGGGGGGGAGGGATAGCTCAGTGGTTTGAACATTGGCCAGCTAAACCCAGGATTGTGAGTTCAATCCTTGTGGAGGCCATTTATGGATTTGGGGCAAAAATTTGTCAGGGATGGTACTTGGTCCTGCTGTGAAGGCAGGGGACTGGACTCAATGACCTTTCAAGGTCCCTTCCAGTTCTAGGAGATAGGCAATCTCCATTAATTTAATCTTTAATTTAATTTG